TTAGAGGCACTCGTATTATCCCATCACACTGTTTGTTCAAGCATCTATTAGACAGTGTAACTTGTGGTTTTCAATAATACATCACCTGTAGTGGCGGAACTGGGTGTCAGTTGGCAGTCGTGCACGCAAATATCCGCCCAAATCCAGCCCAAGGAGTTAACACCATGCCAGGAGAAGGTCCATAAGTACAAGTTGGCACGGAGTAATGGTTAAGACGAGAGGGCACCTGGAGTTCGAGGGGAAACAGGGGATGACACCACAATTACAAGCCAGCCGTACCTGTTCCATCATTTCTCAACTCGACGTTACAAAACAAATACGCTAAACACCTCGCTACGGGGAAGAGGGGAAAGCCAGTACTTCGTACTGACTACTCTTAAAAAGGGCGTAGCAGCCTAGCTTGTTCTGGGTATGAAATTTTATTTAAACATTTTAAAAAATAAATATCAGAATAAATATAATTTTTAAATTCTAACTGAATTTTTCCAAACGAATCTTATTTTCACCACATCGGAAATTTTCTGATCTTCTATAAATCGAAAGCCGTTCCTTATGTCATTGTACGTTGTTATAATTTACGATGTAAGATTTCTGAAACAAATTTAGGTCTAAGATGAAGAATAGATTGGCTGATATGTCTTCAGCTGGAATGGAATTATGACCAGACTTCAGTGAAATATAGGTCCAACTGACCTTAGACCCAAGTTATCTTTCCCGGAGGGTGGGAGTCACGTTCTTTCGTGTAGAGCAGGCGTCACGCGTCCATCATTTAGTAGATGTTCTTTAACCTGTTTTCAGACACAGTTCACGCATTTTAACTCGAGTATTGACTGCAAAGATCATGACAAAGCGTGATCATTATGTGACGAAATACTCCAGTCTTGGCAATGGAAGACCGAGCCCAGAGATTCGATTAAATTAAATATGATTATTTTTATTACGCGGCTGCTCCGGACAACTTGTTTAACTTCAAAATTGTACTATTACTTAAATAAATGCGAATACATAAAGATGAAAAATATTATTTTCAAATTTTTCCTTTTAAATCAAACTTTTTAGAAATTTCATTTTAATTAATAAACATTAATTCGAGTAGCTTCCTTTCTTTTTGCTACATAAGAATAAGTCGTCCTATTTAATTTAGATAATACCTATTAATAAATTTTCCGAAAGAATGAAAAGCAAATAACGACAATAGTTTAAATGAATTTATACCTCGTTTAAACTTATATAATCGAAAACATAAAATATATTGTAATAGAAACAGGAAGCTTTAGTTCCTGTAAATATGTTTAGCAGGAGATTTCCTATTTTAGAAGCGAATTTATTTGCCTATACATAAATTATTATAACGACATTTACTGTAATGTCATCGGTTAAACTCTTATATGGAGTTTATAAGTGGATAATGATACATAATTTGCCAGTTTAGAAACAAAATAAGCATTACGAAACTCGTCATTTTTGTTTTATTGTTGCCATTTTTGTATTTATATAATATAAAATAAAAACTAGAGCCATAGTTTTAATTGAGTAACTGTCGACGAAGAAGAGTAACTCGATCTCGAGTCATGGATCAGCGATTCTTGTCTGTCTTCGGCCATCACCGATGTTTCGGGTTGCGAGAATTTAAGGTAATGAAGTCTTCGTTGACATAATTCAGCCAGAAAGATCGTTTCTGGAGATTTGAAGAATATACGAAATTAAGATATAATATTACATTTATCTTGACAGTAAGCTGAATTAGGCTATTAATAAATAGCATATAGTTTCTGTGTGGGCTAACATGATAATTTTATCAGAACATATGTTATAACTAATCATATATGAATCCATAATATCAATATTTAGAAAAATTACAATAAATAATTTTTATTTTAATTACTGAAAGTTAATCATAAAGTAAATTTCGTTGTAATCAATTTATGAATTGTCGCGTGTCATCGTAGACATTCGTATAATTCATTCAAAGTTATGTTAAGTATGGGAAAAAACTATTTAAAGTAGCAAAACTGTAACAATTTTATTATGTTCATCAAATTTACATTTAAATTTTCTCCAAAAATAATGAATATCGGGTTAAAAAATATTTTTCAAAATTAGAAAGGAAAATTGATCTCTGAAAGAGAGAGAGAGAGAGAGAGAGAAAGTTAAGTAGCAGAATTAGAAAAAGTTATCAGGTAAAGCCGTACCTACTTCATATTTTCGAATGAACGAGAATCCGAAATATTCCTTTAGATCGACCGAAAAAAGTGATGAGTACGAAGATGCCTTCTAAGTCCCGCATGGCGCTGCGGGTGGGAGGGGAATCAGGAGACAGTATGACGGGCCGAACACATCGCCCAATGTCTTAGGTTACAAACTTCGGGCGCCAGACAGGTCTCGGTTCAAGAACTCTGCCAAAAGTGCCACTCTTCAAGACGCTGCTATAAGCACGAGGAAACGAAGAGTTATAAGCCGATGACAACCGGCATCTCGGGGGTGTTGTCTCCTAGTTCTATTACGGATAAGGGAAGAATGGTTTATGGCTCGGACCCTAGAGGCTCTTCGACTCTACTCGGTAATGTTATCAATTCGTTCCCATGATGTCGTTGTTATCGTTCTTTACAATTAACTTAATACGGATCGTTTTCTAACATAAATCTCTCTATTTGAATTAAATGGATCGAGAAATTTGCGTAATTTGATCAAAGAATTCGCTTAAATCCGTACTTCCGGCGGAAGCATAACACAAAATGGGGGAAGAAAAACTAGTCTGCCAGTCATAAAATATGATACAGAATACCTCCGCAAGTTGATGGGTGTCTGGAGTTTCCAGCTGCCACAAGGAGGCAGCACTAGCAGAGACACGTCTCTAACAAAATAGAAAAGGTTTTGTTTCAAATTCTTTTTCACCCGTCGTTCGACGGAAAAAACAGAGAAGAAAAAGGGGGAAAAAACGTAAATCTCTAATTCCTTTACATCGTAAATGTAAACAAATGTATTTTAAACAAAGCCGAACGTATTAAAATTTTAGTAGTGTTCATCGTACTGTTCACCTTGATATACAAGATCTGTATATAAAATACCCCCAATTTTTACTCTTTAGGTATCTAATTAGTGGAGTTACGTGACCAAAATGTTTATATACACGATACGAGACAAGTAGGTCATCGGTTAAAATTCAACTATAATTTGTTACTGGTTTCGAATTATGGAAATTTGAAAGAGAAAAATTATAAAAGGAAAATGGAGAATTCGATATTGGAGGCTCGGATGAATGGAAAACCGAATCTGAGAATATTGACTCGAGTAACAGCCGTGCATATAAATCAGTAGGAGTTGTAAAATGTAGTAATCCGAACTGAAGCATATATGTTTATAGCAGTCGGTCTTACTTCAGAAAACTGTTAGGAAAATAAAAATGCTTTTTAAATTCTGTCTGTGTTAGTAACGTTTACAGGGAGATATAATGTTACTTCTTTACGTATATGGTAGTTATGACTTTAATAAAGGAACGAGTAACGACATTCTTTTGAACAATTGTTGCACTGTTTTCTACCGAGCATCTGTGGTAGTTGGCAATTCGCAGTTTTTTATGTTAGTACTTTATAAAGTAGATAATTAAAAAAACTAACCGTTTTGTTTGTTTGTGTAACTCTGTAAGCTCTCCAAATAAGTCAATGGATACTTTACGAGAAGTTTTAAGAGTGAAATTTTAAAGGAAATGATTACACAAACATTATATAAAAGAAGGGGTAAGTTAGAAGATTATTTCCTATCTAAAGTAATAGTCTATCGGATGGGAGCCTCCTCGGAGCGAGGCGCCTACCAGTGTTAAGTGTCAAGGCAGACGTTTAGCTTAAGATCACCTTTAGGCCTGACCGCATAAAGCAAGAGCAATCTGTCTACCGGAGAAGAAGGGGGATGGTGCGGGCGAGAGGGGAGGTGATTGTGTTGACGTGTACCACGCCGCAAAACTCAAGGTTCGTCCAGGTTTGTTGAGATGCGGACCTAGACATTGCGTGTTTAGAACAGTCCAGCTGGACCGGTATTATCGAGGATGATTTATGAGTTCCGCGCTAAATAATTACCGGTAATCGGTCCGACCGTGGAAGAGAACGCAGTTACCTTAACGCTAAAGGAGAGGGGAAAAAACGAACTCGCACTCACCATCAGCGCTGCGAGCAAATTCGCGTCTCGGCAGCAAACTGTTGAAAAATGAAGTCGGTCCGTATAAATTGAGTTTGTAAGTTGTTTGGCCGTAATAAATAACCTAGATTAGTTTGCTAATTTTGCAGAAATTCTTTCGCTTTACTTAGCTTAAAGTAATTGTTCTTCTCATTGAGAATGGCAAGCTCGTTTTTTAACTCGGATAATTTAATGCAAAAACCAAATTAAAAACGATAGGCTTTCTAGAAAATCTTTAATTCTTTAAAAGATTTATCTTATCTTATGATTTATAGGCTAATTAGTACTTTCGTCGAAATTTAAAACGAAACAAACCTATAAAAATATGTACGAAGTATCCGTGTGACGTCACCGGAATGGTAGCTGACGTCTCAAAAAAGGGAGGGACATAAATATTACTTGTCCCTCAAACTATGTTTTCCATCATCGGAGTGTGACTATGGCAGCGTCACTTCTTAAATCACACAGTGGGACAGGCAGGCAACCTGAGAAGTGCCACAGTTTGTCTTGCTAATGACCTGTAAAAGGTTCCCTCTTCAAGTGGGGATGACTGGCGCCTTCCGGCAGTGGTGGCCGGCACCGCCCGGGCCGCGAGTCCTTGAAACTGGGTGAAGGTCCGGCGGGCCTCATTCAATTTGTTTGGATGATATTCCCGCTTGTCAAAAATGCAAATATCGGCCGAGAGATACGCGACGGCACCAAACTGCGCCAAAACGTTAAATCACACGTGCTCCCAAGTACTGAATGGTTTGTAAAAGTTTTATTTACATCGTCTTTCCTGTTCGGGATTTTTTATCCCACCTTGTCAAGATTAAATGAGAATGACTTACGTTATGAAGTTTAAAATAGAGACCGCAGGCGTTGCATACAGGTTCTCCGTTCTGATTCCTACGCCACAGAGTGGTGGTGGTAGTTTTGCAATTGGCGCAACTTGTCCCGGCTCTTCTGGCAGCAGACTGTCAATACATCATAAAATAGGCGTGTGTTAATAAAACTCGGCAATAAAACCGCAAAATATAATATATCTACAAACCATATAATTGTTATATTTATAGTTCATCGTAAACAAAACTTTCAATTCCTCCAAGTAGCAAAATATGAAAATATTTTACAAATTAAAACTTGGCACGTTATTTCCATATTAAAACATTTTATATTTATTGAACAGACTCCATTTCATAAATATGACTATTTTATAGTTTTGTTATGTTATAATATGGTCAATAAACACGATTAATGCGAAGAAATATAATATTTATATATAAAAAAATATATAAATATTATTATTATATAATATTATAATATATATATTATAAATATTATTTATATATAGTTAACTAAATAACATAGAATCAATACATACACAAACACACACCTATACTGTATATACTCACACATTATTAATGGCATGGTATAACACCAACAAACACGATGTAACTCAACACTCATACACTAAAGATTAATGTTTAGTATATGTAACAAACTAATATTAGTTGAATATATCTTAATAATATTTTATCGTAATAAAAGTATGTGTTCGATTAAATTTTTACATTCGATCTTTTTAATAACAAAATCCGAATTGGTTAAACAATAAAATTTATAATTGTCACCTTTATTTCGACAAAGAAAATAGCAATATAATTGCCATTTGTCTTTCTGCAGAGAATTGTAATATAATGATAATGCAGTGTCTATAAAAGAAAAATTATTTATCTAACAAGATTTTAATTTGTACAATTAAAATCTTAATCAATAATATTATCTGATTTACAAGTATAATACGAAAAATAAAAATAAAAAAATAAACCCCTATCGAAAGAATTATGTTTTTTCGAAATGATTAAGAACGTTAACAACACCTTTGCCTACAAGTTGTAATTAAAGAGAAGAAATGTCTCCAACGTATTATTACTTAAGCCACCGGAAACACCAAATACTTTTAATCATATTTAATAATGCATCGCCTCCATCCAACCGAAAGAAGGCGATGGCGACAAATAAACAGGCTCTCTGCCCTAATGATGCTAAATCTCTAAACGCCCCAATACAAATCCCATTGGAGCAAAATCGAAGCGATGAGGAATTTCACCAATGTTTAATTTCTTCTTGTTTTCATTTTAATACATAAATAAAAACTGTGAATTAAAAGCATAAAATATAAATCTTTTAAACTTAGTACCAGCCTCATAAACCTGATAAATAATTTTTGTTTTATATTTCAATATATTACCACACAATGAAAAGAATAATATTGATTTTGCAACAGAATATTTCAAGATTATAAAGCTAATTTATATTAATTTTTATATATATTCTATAGCCTTAAATGAAGATAAGATATTATGCTTAAACCCATTCGTACATATAGAAACAATTAGTCTACTTAAATTAGATGAATGGGAAATATCTCGTATAGGTATTATGACTACTTCATAATTCAATGTCTTTATTTATATCAAAATAGAAGACATTTTAAAGATTATAGTCAACTTTACAGTCTTAATGAAGTTAATAATTATAACTTACGAGATAATCGTTATTGTTGGATTAAAGAGAGATTAGCCTAGACCTGTATTTTTTGTCTAATTTATTTCTAATTTAAGCATAAATAATGTAATTGTAAAATTCTTACAATGTAATAAACTGTCAAATATTTTACATTTTGGATAAAATAGAAATTAATATAAAATCAATTATTTCTTCGCGAATATTTTAAAAAAAAGGTTATTTACAGATAACAAAAATAATTAATCATTAAATTTATTATTTATTTTCAAAAAATCAATCAAAATTGTACAAAATTTTTTAAATATAGGCCTATATTTTAAACTATTTCGCTACAAATATTTTCCAAACTTAGAAAAATAAACTGGTTTAGAATGTCTTAAAAAAAAAAGACGAATGAAACCGATTTATATGTAAATATAAATTCCTAAATATTTCATTTTAAAAAAGATTTTATATTCAGTTAATTTAGTTAGAGCTCAAGTTGTTACAGTAGAAATGAGTGTGAAAAATGAATATCGTAGATTCAATTATAATCCTAATATATCAATTTTTAAACAAAATTATTCTATGAAATACGATAAACAATTTTATTTAATACGTTAAAAATATCTAATTTATTAAGACATTGATTCAGATTAAGCTTAAATTTAAAAAAAAATTCTATACTTCATCAAACTCTACTTAAGATATTTTGTCATAAATATTCTTATTATTTTTCATAAATAAGTCTCTTTCCGAAGAGAGAAAAAATAAATAAATAAATTTACATTAAATAATTAAATTGAACATTTTATTATTTTATCACGTAAAAATATTGATTTATGAGGAAAATTGGTAGAAGATTTAACTCATTTCATGAATTAAGATTAGCAGTTTCATAGGTCTGTAACTATGAAACTACTAAATTAATTAATTAAAAGTTAATTAATAAAATTTAATGTTGCCATAGAAAATAAATATATTTGAAACTAAATTAATTTTGTTTATGCACCCCTTTTCATCTATAGAGTAACATACTTTACTATCTCAAATCTTGATTGTAATAATCGAACCATTACAAATTAAGGTTTATCCATTGTAATAAGACTTAAGTCCTTGTAACTAGATCTATCAATATTTTAAAGTCTTTAAACTAATTTCTAAAATTTTAAATATATATCAATAATTTTATACAAATTTTATTGTACTAACTCTTCGTATAAAAGCATTATTTTTATTTACCAATAGTTATCACGTAACCACTTAAGATCAATCTTAAAAGACGAGAACTTGTTAAACATTTTTATCTCTAGTATTTAGATCGGCTTAATACGAACACAACCCTTCATTAATTCTCCTGGCAGAACATTACTGATCATAGTTATGACACATGTCAACACCTCGCCCTCTTTATAGAAACAAGACAGCTCAAACACCCCGTGTCACCACATCCGAAGTTCACACCCAATACAAGTCTGATAGTGATCAACTTTTGCATTATCATAATTATAATCCTGAGGGAAGTTTCGACTTTTAATATTGTTTAGATAGAATTGTTTAAAGTGATTTTATGAAATTTAGGCCTACGTGAATAAATTTACTGGAAAAAAATAATAATTAGATTTTAAAAATGTAAGTAAAAAGGCCGACAATACCGACTTTTTACATCTCTATTATTTTCATCCTTTTAAAAAATTACTATCACGATTCTTCACTAATCGACTCGCAATTTGATTTACTGTAAACATTTTCTTTCTTTCTTTTTTTTCCTATAAAAGTTTATTATATTTGAAATTGATAATTTGCGATCAAGAACTCTTATCTTGCTCTTTATTTTTTTCTCCCCTCCTCCCTTTCTCTTCGATCTTATTGGTAAAGTGATTTTGCACCACTAATGTCTTTGGTTAGTTAAATAACATAGATTTAATGAAAGGAGCGAATAAAAATTACATGTAATCATAAGTTAAGTAGTAATAGAACTTTTAACATTTCCGATTTTCGATCATAATTTTCGGTCTTCTCACGGAATAACGTTCTTTTGAACATTACTTATTGATTTATCCTTCAGGGATTTATAATATATGAGGTTCGTTCTAATTGGGAACGTGCATTACCATATATTACTTATAATTATCTTTCAAATCCGAAACTATAAATTTATTCGATTCGAGTTTAGTTAGAATAGAAAGGTGTACAAATTTTAATGATGCCAATTCCAATTTATTTGGTATAAAAGTCCATTCGTAGTTATAAGTCACTAGAAATTTTAAGTGTAAAGATGTATGAAGACAGAGAAATATATTGAATACAAAAATATGAAGAAATAAGTAAAAAAATATTAATTATTTATTAGGAAATTGAGAAATTTATAAAGTGAAACACGTGCAAAAGGAAAATACTTAAAATAAATGAAGATACACGTATGTAGAAAATTGTTAAACTAGTAGAAGAGAGGAGGGAAAAAAGCAGAGAATTATGAGAATTTGTGGAGATTATTAATGTAGCTTAGTAAATAAAATTAAAATTAATGAATAAATTAGTAGTTGTGTTAAAATAATTAATTANATTTGAAATATTTAATAAACCGCACCTTGTTATTTTATCAATTATATAGATTACGTGTCAATGGCCCTATGTAATGCCATTATATAAAAATACCTAATCGTTCTACAATAATAATAATAATGATAATTTTTTGACAACTTCACTGCGGGTTTAAAAAATATTAGTAAAAATGTCTGAGTGACAATAAAATATTGTCGTGATCGTGATAAAGACAGCACATATAAATTTCTTTCAACTTATTTGTTAATTGAGTTGGTTTTTCCGAGGGAATCGCATTGAATTCTGCTATGTATATGTGAACAATTTAAAACTAGGACAAAATATCGGAAGTAAACGGAACTGTTATTGTTTAAACTTCTATTTGACTAATAACTTTGCCACAAATCATTTACAATTGTACAAAGGAAGGTCTATTCCTTATCGCTTACAAAACGCCTCTTAAAACCCAACCCCAATATCGTATTTTCGAGAGACTGAATTAGAATGGCCCAAACGAAAATTAAGAAAATTATGCGGATAGTCGAGAAGGTAATACACTTCCGTGAATAAGAAATTTCTATCAAGCTTCCATCTTCTTAAACGACTTCAGAGAATTGCTACCGGAAGCAAAGACGCACTGCAGGAAGGGAGGGAAGATAGACATTGACTCAGCGTGAAGTCCAACTGCGAGTCAGTCCAACTGTATGATTGATCGCTCAAGCCAATAAAAACAGGCTGTCGGTGGTCAACGGACCGACTAGGAGGATGGAAAACGACTAGTAAAGGTGTGCTATGTCGAGACATTCTGTAAATTGTAGGGCGGACGATAGATTAAAATACCCGCGGGAGACACCGACTCGGGGGCTCGCGCCCAAATGCACTACCTCGAACCACTGCTAAGGTGAATTGGAGGCGAGACTGG